GGTTTCACATCATTCAATTTTACTCACTGGAGCTTGTTCGTCTTTAGCCTTCGGCATTCTACTGATTTCATCTTTCTCTTTGTCTTTGCGATCCCTGCAAGTAATGCGTAAAATAAACGCAAATCTCGTATATCTATATCACTCTGTAAAACAAAATATCTTTCTGCATTTTTTTCTATAAATACCTTTCTGCCGCACGAGTATTCTCAACGGATTTCTGAGATCCTTTGGATGTCGATAAGCCAGAACGAGATGCTGGCGATGTTTTAGATCCACTTTGTTCCTCTACTTAAAAAATATACATATTTTTATTGTCTTTATGCCAAATAAGGAAATTTTGTAAAATTGTTTAAAAACGAAACAAATTTACCAGTACGAGTGGGAGTTGGTTGAGAACGTGGTGTGGATCTCTCAAGCCGAGCACCTCTGTCTTCTTCTGATCGCCAAGCCGGCCGACCTCTTTCTTTCTCTTTCTCTTTCTCTTTCTCTTTATCTTTATCTTTATTGTCGTCACGTCCTTCCTACAAATAAAAGTTATTCAATCTATGACATTTTACAATTATAAATGTATTTCTTATATTCGATATGAATTATATCAAATACTTACCCCATTACGTCGGCCCCAAGTGCCGTCTTTACGTTCTTTAATATCCCTAGAGAGAAACATCAAAATTTTTAGTAGAAACATATTTTACATTCTTACGAATTTAACGAAAATACAATGTAATATTTTTTATATAAAGTAATACAATTTAATTTGATAAAATTTAACAATAAATTATGAAATGATACAATTCACGCTAATAATATAGCACAACAAAGGATCATTTTTGTTTTTTAACAAATAATAGGTATTTCTTATAAGGCTTTCTACACTGAAAAAAGATATACTTTTTAAAAAATTTCATCATTCTTTTTAAAAAATTAAAAATCTCTGCTTTGAATTTCTTATGTAGTAGAAATTAAATTTATAATATATGTACATATAAAAGCAATTTAAATATTTTTTTCTAATATATAAAAATAAATAAATATAGTATAAAGCTCCTTTTATCGTTCATGTACAATTTAAATGATACATTAAAATAACAAAATTTATTGGCAATATTTAATAGTAGTAAAAAGATTATAAGTAGAAGTGTCAAAAAATTATTACACTAATTTACAAAGTTTCTATTGCTCCTTAAATGGTGATTGTTATATGTATTTTATTTCATAAAGTGAAAGAAAAAAGATTCACTTTTATCGAAAATCTAATTATTTATAATTAATTGATTTGTTCTCGTCGCCGATCTAATTTTAATTTATAATTGTTTACACATACATCTCCTTCAGATATGACGTCTTTCACTAATTACTACGATTATTGCGATAAATATTTTCACATGACTTAGTGGTCGAATTAGTATGGAAAGTTGGGAGCTCAAGATTCAAACCTGAGATAATATTTTTCGCAATAAATTATTTACAAATTTTTAAAGATACTTAAAGATACTTATTAGCTTTACTTTTAAAATGGACGATCAATCTAATGTGAGATATTAATTTCAGCTTCAGTTTGCATTTCTCAAGTCAGACTTTATCAGTGTGCAGTTTATAAGATTTAAATATCATATTTACTAGGGATGCACCGAATCATAAAATTACCGGATATCGAATATTCGAATAAAATGTAACATTATATATCCGATATTCGACCGGATATCCGCGAAAACAATCTCTTCGATTGGATTTCCGACCAGATTCCAAGAAAGTGTCTTCTAAAAAAGAACCCTTGAGAAAAATAATATAATTTTGCAACAATGTATACGATATTATAGCATCATGTATATTTATTTCTAGAACACATTTGTATAAAAAAAAAATCAACAATTTAATGATATCAAATTTCAATCAGATATATTCTCGGATACTAATGATATCCGACTATCCAGTCGGATAGTAAAAGTACCGGATAATACTGGATATTTTCCGGATATCCGGTGCATCTCTAATATTTACATTTAGTATTTATTAAACACTAAATTTCACTTTGACCAAGAATAGAACTTATTTTTATTAATTGAAAGAAAAAAAGTTGTTAATTGTTAAAATTTATAGTCTTCGAAAATAAAGTCCTTGATTTCTCTGAAATCTATGAATGATGGAATTGTTTAACTGTATATTCTTTTTCAATTATTAAGATATATCTCCGACTACAATCACGCTAAAAAGTTAATCGCGTACAACCTATGAATATGGTACTCTCTCCGCGTGTGCTCTCTGAAGAAAGAAAGGAAAAACCTTTTGAGGTGAGCATATACACATGCATAAATGTGTCATATTTGTATGCACACTAATCCGCACTAAAGGCAGTTGAAATGTGGCAACAGCATGTTTCTGTCTCGCCGCTCGGCGTACGTAGAAGGAGAATTTCGTCAAATTTACTACTCTAATTTAGAAACAGCACTAAACAGCGCTAAATCTTCCCATTTTTTAAAATAAAATTCCTATAATATTTCTACATTACATATTTATTTATTTTTTTTAATCTGTAGATTTTTGTCATAAAGTATTAAAACGTTACTTCAGCAAGGCTTGGTATAGAAGTTTAGATGTTAAAAGCTGAAACTTTGAAGGTGAATATCTCAATTTCGGCATCGCTAGGATCTTTGAAATTTTAACCATATACAGATAAAATTATTTTAAACATACCTAAATTTTAAAAAAATCTATAGAAATTTAATTTCTCAAAATATCTTAAATCAATCAGATGTTGAGAAATAAAAACCTTATAATAACACAGTATAATTTAATAGTTTCAAGACATTCTTTGTATCATACATACGTTTCTTCTCGGGATCGTGATTCCGCGTAAGATTTGGCGAGACGCTCCTCTATTTCTCGTTCACGGGCAGTGGTATCTACAGGTTTCGCAGCACCGAAAATATTGGCTGCTGGCACGGATGTAGCAGCTGGTGCTCGTTGAGTTGATTCTGTATTCGCTGTTGGCTTCGATTCCGTCGTACTGTCTTTAGCTGCGGAATCTTCCGCAACTACGAGAGGCTCGACAGGTTTCGTGCGAGGTTGTAAATTCAATTTCGGTCTTTGTCGTGGCTCGGCTAAATAATTAAATAAAAATGTCAGTAAATGAATTAGACATCTACCGTATATTTTATCGAACAAATGTATACGTACGTTTCGTATCTCGATCTTGTCGACGATCGCGATCCCAATCGGAATCACCATAATTACGTCGTGGCCCAAAACTGCTGCTTCTGTCCCCATCTCTGTCTTTGCTTCTCCCTCTATCGCCATAACGATTCCAATCCCTGTCTCTGTCTCTATCTCTGCTATCATCTCTGAAGCCACCCCTCTCTTTAAACGAAGATCCTTTATCGTTGCTGTCCCTCTCACGCCATGCACCTGGCTTATTATCGTAATCGTGTCCTATATATATTCAATACAAAAATGTTACTCTATTGTAATATGATTCTTCGAAAATTTATCTCTATCGAAGCTTTTATTTCTCTCTAGGAAACAGATAAAATTTACATACTTTCTCTGTCATCTCGCCGATCTCTATCATACCGACTGCGATAGGAGTCTGCATCCAGCAAATCTTCGCGCGGTCCGCTTCTCCAATCGCCGGATGTACGTTCGGGATCATCATAATTGTCCCTACGGCTGTCTCTACCCATCCTACCGCTTCGACGATCATCATTACTACTATTCGAGACTTCAATTCTCACTCGTCTTGTTTTAATCGTCTACACGGAAAAATATATTATTTTCAATAATTCTAATGTCGATAAATATTGTTAAATATTATTTGCTTACCGTATTTGTCATAGAAAGAGCATCAATTAGACTCTGACGATCCTCGAATTCGACGTAACCGTAGCCTTTAATTTTATTTGCGTCTTTTGGCAAACGCATGTTTGAAATCTATGTACAGAAGAAAACGCGTAATTTACAATAAATTGCAACCGATTTGTGAAAAATGAAAGAAAATTAATTTTTATGGTTATCAAAATTGTATATAATTAAGAATATAGCAAGAGATTTCATGCTAATTAAACGTACTTGGGAAATGCTTAATCATAGAACGTCTGTCAAACAGAAGACCCGAAGCCGTACTCTCGAAAAATATCATATACAAAAATACTATAATATACTTTATATATAAAATAATTTATAAGTGTATTATTTATAATTTATAAGTATATACTTGAAGTATATACTTGAAGTTTATAAATTATGTAACATTAATATAAATTATATAACATGAAAAATATTTATTGAGACCTTACAATATAAATAAAAATTTGTTTGAAATATCTGACTGTGTGGAAATCTCCGTTTATACTGAAATGATAAGAAGATGCAGCATTACATACAGCATTATATATAAATATATATACAGGATATCCAATAAAGATTGCAACAACGTTTAAAGATAGTTTCCTAAGATTATTGTAAAACAAAAATTCTGATTCTAAAATATTTTAAGACAATAATTTTTTAATTATAAGCATTTAAAGTTAATGAATCATATCGCCTAAAGTTAACACGTTTAACCCATTAAGTAGCAAGACAATTTTTTTTTCTCAAAATTAAAAATCCTTTTAATGACAGGCTACTATGCCCTTAAGAAGACTACTTGTCAAATCTTTTTCATCCTGAACTTTTCATCCTGCAGTTTTCACCCTCAAATAGACAGGGGGAATGGTTGATTTTGCTATCATTGGTCCAAAGCGATATAAAAAAAAATATAAATAACAAATAAATTTTTAAAATAAAATGTTGAAAAATCGAGCGATCCTTAATAGGTTAAGTATGGTTGGTATTTTGCATTAGCATTTGCATTAACATATCATATCTGAACATGCAAACTTTAGATATGATTTGCTAACTTTAAATGCTTATAATTCAAAAACTATTACAGCCTTGACATTTTGACATTAGGATTTTTGTTTCAAAATGATCTCAGAAATCTAATGTTATTAAATGTTGTTACAGTTATTACTGGACACTCTGTGCGTGTGTGTGGGGGGGGGCATGCGCACGCGCGCGCGCGCGTGCGTGTGTAGGTGTGTGTGTGTGTAGATAAAACAGTAGATAGGATATTCAGATAATGTATCCGAATACAGCCTATGTATATTTGTGTGTGTGTGTGTGTGTGTGTAAATAAATATAAATAAACACAATAAAATTAAGATTGTAATATTGCTGTTATTCATCTTAAATTCTTCGAAATTTGATATGTATGACTAAAGATGTACTAAATATAAATAGATAATAAAGGTACTTGCAAAAATAACGAACCTTCATATCTGCAAAAAAATCTGCCAGATCAGTTTCATCTACATCATATGGCAGATTGCTTATGTAGGCTACATAAGGAGGATTTGTAGGGATATTCTCTTCATCAATCCCTGGTCCTCGTGCAGCCCTTGGAGCAGTTGGCAATATAACTGGATCTTTGTTACTTCTTGATGAAAATCCTTCTGTAAAATAATCAATATGAAAAATCTATCATAAAAAACCAAAGACATAAGTTTTTACGTCACATGTATTAAAATCAATAAATTTTATGACAGGAAATTACAGCATTACTATGTTCCATTCCTCTTATAATATAACGTAATAAAATAATTTTTTATATATTCAGAATATATACCAAGATAACATTCACATATATTCTAATGTATAAACATACATACACTTAATAATTAGAACAAGAATCTAATATTTTTTCATAAAACTAACAATTGTTTATCAATTTCGAATAAAAGCAATTCCGATGACTTACCATGATCGTCCTCCACATCATCAGCCCAATTAGACGATTTCAGCGGTATATTAGGAGTTGGCCCATTTCCGTCGGCAAGGAATGACCACAAATCTACTGTTACTCCCTTCTTCTTCTTGTTCTTTTTGCCTGCATAACATACGCGAGCGTATTATTAAAGGAACATATCGTATTGTCGCATTCTGTGTCGAAATGTGCCTAGCAGCTCGTGCAATATCGAAAGCATGGTGACCACGTCGCGCGAAGTTTGGTTAGGTGCAAATGTGTAACGCATGATGACGGCGCGGACGATATTCCAAGATCATTTTAGCGGTAAAGAAACTAATTGTCTATCGATATTCATCGTCATGACGATCAAAAACGTACCTGAGGACATAATAACAGTTCAGAAATCCACGAAATTACGTGCCAGGCCGTGCTACGTGCACTGCACAACCACCCTCGCACTTGCTCGCACTTACAAAATCCGTGAATCACGAAAGCTTGATGCATGATGGAAGCATGAGTTACATTCGCGCGAAATGCATGTGCAATACATATCGCGCCATCTTCCGAGTTAGTCATATGACTTCTGTACATGGACGCCGAAACGTTTGCCGCGCGGCAAAATGCGACACAATAACCAATAAGCTTACAGCTCCTCACGTGTTCCGCATTCAGTGTGTGGGAGCCAATAGACTACGTTTAAGACCGATATTACATGCGTCTGTTTTTTTACGTAAGACAAATTTTTCAAGCCTGTTGATTGGCTGTAGGACAAAGAGATCCAAGATCCTCTCTGTCTTGCAGCCAATTAACACGCTTGAAAAATTCGTCATACAACAAAAAAAACGGACGCATGTAATATTTAAAGTTCTTATAAGAGAATCGTATCAATATTGTCAAAATTTTCATTGGCTTTAAGTAAAATGGCGAAACCAATCATCGATGCTATTATATCTCCACCTTTGAGTATCGTAAACGCGGTGATTTAGATTTTAAAAAGTGTAAGAATAGAATTTACGTTAAATTATATAATATTGGCAAGTAGAATTAATGTTAAAACAAAAAAATACAAAATATTGACAGAAGTAGTTCCGTTTTCTATAGCTGAATTAGTTTTATACTTTTAAAACTGAAATGATAGTGATGATACGAAATAGAAATAAAATAACATTTTTACTTAACAATACTTTTATTTTATGATAAAATGTCTTGCCATCGTCAAACTGTTATATATTGGTAATTTTAAACGCCTTTTTGACAATATATTTTAAATGTGATGAATCGTTTGATTTTATATGAAGTATTGTGACAATTTTTAAGTGTCTTATATAATTGATGACAAAGTTAAAATTTCACTTTCGACGCTTTTCTATCACATAATATCTCTATCTTTTATATATTTGTAATTTGAAATCTTTATAATAATATATAGGCTTATCTATTTATAATTTTAATACAACTAAAATAATTTCATCACTTCGCATTACAGCTTCCACCATGACTCTACGCTCTACGTAGTAGAGAGTCTAGAGCTCTTTTCTAATAGAGTTCCTGTTAGACGCCATTTTACTTTAGATTGACGCGACTCTCTTATAGGGACTCTAGTAATATTGGCCTTAATCCCGGATCTACAATAAATTTTTAAGCCTTAAGCCATAAAAAATGGACGAATCATAATCGATTATTCTCCTCGCATTCTTAGTTGGCCAATTTCTTATGGCTTAAGGCTTAAAACATCTATTGTAAATCTGGACTAAGTCTATTAGAGTTTTCGATCTGAGTGGAGATGATGCTCCCATTTGGATTGGATAATATTCTACTATTGATTAACGTTACATATTCCACCAATAAAAAAGCATACAACGTTATTAATCTAATCTAGATTGGTGCAAATCTGTTTGAATCGATACGCTATATTTTTCAAATTTTTTTCGACTTAGGGCCAGTGTTGAAATTGAATAAAGTTGCATCTTTTATACATGTTTATTAATATTCAATTGTCTTTCCAATATATTTACCTTTTTACTTGAACTCTTTCTTTTCCAAAAGAAAAAAAAGAATCCACAAATTCCGATTCATGGAATATACGAAAACTTAAGCGGAACGGAATCGGCGGAATAAAGCCACGACCAATCACCAACGTTCTGCAGTTCCACATCCCATGGGAGCGCATCCTGATTGATTGTTTTTATGTCGCATTCTTTATTCTGCAGTCGTTTTCCGCAGCGTTTGATTTCACCCCAGACTCGGCAATTGAATCGACCTTATGCCTATTTTACAAATTAATAAAGTTGCAAGTCGTTAGCTGTAAGAAATCGGCCAATCACTGTTAAGCGTGAGAAGAATAATCGATTATAATTGGTTAATTTCTTACGGCTTACCGCTTACAACTCAATTGTAGAACAGGCCTTAAGGACTGCCGCAGACAAAATTTCTGTAACAAAAATTCAGTAACCTTAAGACATGAACTTAAGCCGATGAGCTAATTAGAATACTGTTTTAGATTTACGTACTCTAACGGAAATAGAAATAGCAGTAAACTTATCCATGTGGCGAGTTTCAATTCACCGGTTTCAATTTTCCAGTTGAAATTCACCTTATTGCGAGGTTATGGATAAGTTTACTGTTATTTCCATTTCCGTTAGATTATGTAATTTAAAGTAGTATCCTGATTGGTTCATCGGCTTAAGATTACACTTTACGCATACTGTTACGGAATTTTGTGTGCGGCCCTAAAGTCTAGTTTCACAACTGACGGTTAACTTTTAACCGAGGTTCAATTTATTCAATATCTCTTTTCAATTTTAGAATTGGAAAAAGATGAGAAATATGTTAAATTTCGGTTAAGAGTTAACCGTGAGTTATGAAACTGGGCCTAAGTTAATTGGAGCTAGATAAAAGTCCCCCTTAATTACTTAGTTTAGATCGTGTACTTGATACATGTACTAACTAGTAACTATACATGTAATAACTTTCTATTAAATTATTTTAATTTCAGCGATGTATTAAAAAAATGTACTAAATTGATACAATATGCATCATAATGATTAATTAAATACACATATCGACAAAATTAAGATCATTCAATAGAAAGTTACTTGTTAGTATCCGCATTAAATCCACGATATAAACTAGGCCAATATTCGCGATTTTACTTTAAATATTATGAATATTACAGTCTGAAATAAGCATTTTCTGTGGATTAATATTAAATTTATTGTGCGAATTCAATATATTAAATGCTTCATTTACAATAAGACAAAATTTTTCTGTGGCCTCTCTGTTTTTAAAATCTAGTAACTGCAAGTCATCACGTTAATATGCAAATGCTTTTGTAATACTGTTGCTAAGTATAGCTGTCAGAGAAACTTTTATTTTTTCATTCTCTCAATTCAAATGCCGTCTTCTAATTTTAATTGTAATGTGCAAACTGTTGTTCTTGAAATTGTACCAATTTCTCCAAAAAAGATCATTTTATAATGTTACCATCTCCGTCAACAATGACTTACAGTTTTCCAAACAAGTTGCAAATTAGTTTTAATATTATATACAGCACAGATCGAAAACTACAAAATTTTTTACTTTTAAAACCAGATGTAAAAAATAAACTTATAAGTCGTCCTTCATATTTAATTCCGTATCTAATTCTGTAGTCATTGCAAAATGACTTTGCGATCCATCGAAGGTAATGGACGTGACTAAAACTCCTCTGTTTCATGTAAAGATTAAATGTTTCATTACTATATTCGTTCGTTCCATGCTATTCAATGAGTTTATAAAATAATACATAATAGGAAACTACCAATGAGCATTGGCTCAAATCGTAAGTACAATAAGCGAGCCCACGATCCAATTGCGCACAAGCCAATCACAGTGCTAAAAAAATAATCCAAAACTTCCTACGCAGAAGTCGCTGTGATTAGCAGTGGACAATTGCTACAGTGCGCAATTGAATCGCTCCCGTATAATAATACCGAAAGCTGTAGATAAATCAATGCCATTCATGTGTTTCCCATAATTAATATATCCTACACATTCATTTATATGCCATTTCACTTTTTATTTAATCATCATATCATCCATAATTAAGGAACACAGGATTATTTCGTTCTGTGTGCAGTTTCTATTTTTTGTTTTATAAATTGTAATGCATTTATGCGGGATCTACAATAGAAGTCGCAGCGAGGTCTTAAATTGTAGAAAATTGATCAATCATAGTCAAATATTCTTCTTATATTCGATTGTGATTGGTTAATTTTTAACGATTTAAGACTCTACGACTGCTACAACTTCTATTATAGACCTCGCATTATATATTATACATTAGGATTACAATCCACATTTTTATACTAGGATCTAATCATATTTTCTCATACATATTCATACGCTTTTGGAAAATAAAAGTATGTAAAGACGTTGCAAAATATTCTATAATTCCAGTGTGAATATAGTAAACATTTGATGTTGGGATAAAATTTTTTGAATAATAGATTTTACAACTGGAGCCAACTGTAAAACTGCATCCAGTCTATCAAGCCAAAACGCGAGCTGAACCTCGAGCCGAATGTGACTCTTCGATTTCACATATATGTAAATATTGATAAAAAAACAAATGCATAATTAACTAGCTGATATATTCGTATATATAATATGTATATACAGGATGGAGTGGCCCAATGAATGGCAGGATGAAGTGACTGCTCGAGACTTTCGGCTCGATTCGAAGCTCGGCTCGGCTCAAGATTCACATTTCGGCTTGATAGTCTGGACGCAGCTCTTAACATTTTCAAAATATACAATTTGTTATGTTTTATTTACTTTTGCAACGTTGCGAGTTGTAGTTGCAATACCTATTTGTAACACAATGTAAGTTGCAATAAATCTTATTAACAAAAAGAGTATTAATTTAACATATATAATATATAATTTGATTCATCAGATGATGTCAACAATTTGCTAGCAGATATATAACAAAATTTGCTGACATAATTTGACAGCAAATTGATGGTAAAATACAAACAAATATATTTATGAATATATATAACTTAATAACAAATTGGCAGCAAAAATCGAGCAAGTTTTGTTGTAAATAATGCTATGCCAAACTTGCTCAGTTTTTGCTGCTAATTTGCAATCTAGTTTTGTCACAGGTTTTATTTGAATCAAAACAGTTTACTGATGACACAAAGTGCACTGGATTGACAGCAATCTTTGACAGAACAGCGTTTGATGCTAATTTGACAATTTACTAGCAATTTTTGTTTACTGAATATATTATTAATAAATTATGACTTGTAGTGATGCATCCTGTATCACAACATATATATTTTAAGAAACACTTACGTTCATGTCTTCTAAAGCTTTCTTAGAAATTATGATGTAAATGTTTATTTAATTCCATCAAACTCTGCACTCGGTTTTTTAATTTACATCTTTGAATTTGCAAATGTTGTATTTTCTTTGCCTGTTCTACAATTGTTTCTAGTGCAATTTCTAATACCATTTTTGCTTCGTCCTGATTTTTAGATACCTCGTATACATTAATATCCTTCATATATTTAATATGTTTTAAAGGAAAGTCTATTTCTTTATTCTCCATTAATTTTCTAGAAAAAAAATACATTAATTATATTTAATATAAGTATTATAAAGATAATATTATATTAGTCAAAAATATCACACCTTTTTAATGAGTTAGGATTATATTTTGCAGCATTATTAAATTCCATACTGTATTCTTCTATTTTAATTTTACCGGATTGTTCTTTACATGTATTCTGAAAAAATATGTTATATTTCTTATCACAATTATATTTCTATACTGAAAATTACTTAATTACTGTTATGTAGTCATTCTCCAACTACCTGTTGTATTTCAGTATGAAATTCTTTTTCATCACTAGATGCTGCTGTATTATTATTGGCATCAGAATTGATTTCTTGTGAAATAATCTCAGGAATAGCAGTTTTTTTAAGACTCGCTTTTAGTCCATATATTGTTTCTTGATAGTCTGATGATTTAAAGTGGTTAGAGCACAGTCGAGCACATTGTGGAACTTTATTCATATTGATTGCTTGCAACCATTTGCTTCTTCGATCCTTATCTTTCGGAAACCTGTAAATTACAATATTAATTAACATTGTCTCATTAATTGTCTCTCCTTCCTTCCTCTCTCCCTCCCTTCCTCCCTCCCACCCTCTTTCTCTCTTTTATTTTACATACCCTTTATTTGTAACTCGCTGAATTTGCTATATTATGAAGAAAAGGAATAGCATATAGTTTATAAATATTAAACTAATTATTCTATGTGTATATGTATGAGTACTTAGCAAATATTATAATATAAATATAACTGCTTTATAAGATAACAATAATTTATAAGATAACACATATGACAAGTATTACATATGATTATGATTAATCTCTTTCATATAATGATGGTGTAAATATTATATATGAAATATTACCTGTGAAAACTAGATGCAGAGGTTGTGGTAGTGCATACCTTGCATAAGATACAATAATTCACCATTTTATTTACTTTTATTGACATTTGACTATTTTATGTCATATTCTCGTTAGGGGCACACTTTGACACAGCATACAGTACTGTTGGATCAACAACAACCAATCAGGCATTAATAAACAGAGAAAGAATGTTCATTCATTCAGAAGATTTGTCGCGTCGTATGCTCTAACATGCTCTAAAATGTTCTTACCGTAGTATTTACTCACTTTAACGCGCTCGTTGAAGTGAGTAGGAGCTATAGCAGGAGCACATTGGGGCATGCTGGAACATACGACAAACCTAGAAAGAATCAAGGGAGAATGGAGCGGATTCAGCCAGAAGCCGCCATATTTAGCGTGCCGTTGAAGTGAGTAGGGATACGATCAACGCTATGCTGCAAACGCTTTAAAGCGTTTTTTAACTGGTCAGTTTGTAAAATTCTTTCTTCTAATTGGTCCATCAAATGCTTCAAAGCATTTGTAGCGAGACTTTGACCATAGCCATAGGAGATATGTGTATGATCAGAGTGTGATGGAACTATTAAGGCTTAAACACAATAGGCACGGAATAACTGGGACTGGGAATAACGAGCTGTCCAATCAGAGCTCTGGGATATAATATCGAACTTACATACTAGAGCTCTGATTGGACGGCTCGTTATTCCCTTGTCTGTGCCTATTGTTTAAGCCTTCACGGTTGGTACATCGCGCACTTAGGGACGACGCGAAGCAAAAGTAGGCGTGGTTTGATCAAGTTTATCTCGTTGACAAGGACCAGGACCACAGTATATACAGTAGCGCAACTCTCTTTTTATGTTGGTCGAAACAGAATGCGCATGCGTGAAATAAGTAAGTTGCCCCGTCTCTTTCCCACTTTTTTTTATTGCTCTCCCTCTCTTTCTTTCTCTACTTAAATGTTTCAATGATCCACTTAAACATTTGTTTTTCAAGCATACATGGTTTAGAATAGAAATTTAGAGAGAAATATTACGTGTATTGTCCATTTAGTGAAATGTATGAGAAATCTCGAGAGATTGGTCTAATTTTTGTGAAAAAGTGAACAAAAAGAAATATGTAATAGAAAATCGAGCAAGAAGGATTTCTTTTTACTTATTGTATTTTAAATTTATTTTTTGGATATATATGTATATAAATTTTTTTTATATAGCTTTCTAATAATATTTTTATAGATATATAATTACATAATATTTCTTATACAAATATACATTTTTAAGTTAATTTAATATTTTTTCTTTATTTTTCAAACTATTTACAATTTATTTTTATTAATTTTCATAAAGTTTAAATTATTTCATTGCAATATTAGGTTTATTCGCGTCGCATGCTCTAATATGCTCCTATAATAGCACTTACTCACTTTAACGAATTCGTTGGATTGCGATGGGAATAAATCTAGTGAGTTTTGCGAGGAATTTTGACGGGGTAAAAAAAGGATGAAAAGAGAAAGAAGTTTAGATGGTAACTGTGGCAACGCTAGGTAACTTACTTATTTCACGCATGCGCACTCTATTTTGGCCAACACTAACATCAAAGATGCCGATAGACAGTTGCGCTACTGTATATACTGTAACCATCATCTGAACATAACCTTGGATTAGTGGCGCCAGGTTTTAGTCAGGTGTTTTAGAGTTTTGATGCTGAGCATGTGATATTTTATACAATATCTTGTATATTAATGCCGAATATAAAGTGAACTTGCTTATGTTTTGCTAATTTATTGTCATCAATCGTCAAGATCATTTACAATCAAAATAACAGGTCATAATGGACAAAGAAGGTATATGAAATCAGCATTGTACTTTTATCTCCTTACATCTAAGGAAAAAAGTTATTATATTTTGAACTGATAAATTTGATAATTATTATTTAATCTATCTAAGTCATCTAATTTAATAAAATTATGCTCGTTCACGTTTTTTACACGAAGCAACAGAATCTGGCTGTAAAAAGTATTACTTTACCAGGAAGTGAGAGATTAATCGTTGAATCTGACACGGTTTGTCAATCTTTTAGGTAAAAATCTACTTATCATACTAATATTGTGATGTGAACATGTACGTTGATAGAAAAAAATGTACAAAATGAAGTATGTATATACTTGTTGTCAAGAGGAGCTTTTTCAACAAGAGACACTATAACACAGTGATCATTTCATCTTTATTTAACATTATAGATACTTTTTTCATTAGATTCTCTTGTTTATTTTGTATAAGAACATATCGAATAAGCGTAATTTTATCAGTATTGAAAGTAAGGCAATTAAAATAAATAATTGCCAAAATATTTCCATCAGGATTATAATGGAAAATATTTTAAGTAGGAGTCTTGTCAAATGAGAATCTAAAAATAATCATTTGACAAACTTTCACAGAAATATGCCAATATTTCAACAGCATTATAAAAAATGAAAAAGATGTTTCTGCTGGCATGGCTGCCATTCGCACCTTATTGAAAGTATTAAAACATTCTAAATGTAAGTATTGTTAGAAATATATCTTGATATAAAATAAATAAAATATATACATGTCCATTTTAAGATTATTATTTAATATAAACATATATATATTAATCCTTATTGTATACATTTGTGTTGAATTTCTTGGACATTAAAATAAAATATTAAAAAAATAACATTTTGTGTGTACATGCATTATATTTTTAATATTTTATTATAATGTCCAAAAAAATGTGTACACAGAGTATTATTTTTTATATTTTTCTTGTTTTATAGCAGAGACAGTTCAGGAGCTTCGAATTTGCTTACAGCATGCAATTGACGCTATGCGTTCCACAGAAACTCCAGTCACTGCGATTGCTTCAGGAAGTGAATTGTTTCTCCGTTTCATCACATTAGCAACATTGGATACACCTGTAAGAACACTTAACGTTTAGATTTTGTTTTATACTCTGAAAATAAATTTCTTAAAGTTTAATTTTTAAATAATGTAACTTGTTAATGCTTATTTTTTTATTAGTCAATCGCAGAATGCAAAGGGATCATGTTGGAAAGAGGAAAAGTATTCTATGAGAAATTAGTTGCAGCTCGAGGAAAAGTAGCCAAGGTTGCAGCACACTTTATTACTGATGGCTCGGTAAGGACATACCTAAATTATTTGCGATATTTCCATTATTTTCTGACTTTTATTATTTTATTAGACTATACTTACGCATTCAAAATCAAGAGTAGTGCTGCAAGCAATGAAGGAAGCTGCTGCAAATAATAAAATATTTGAAGTATATGTCACATCAACATCACCTGACAATAATGGGTATGTGTGAAGTTTTTAAATGATAAAATACATATTCTTTTTTGTGATTATCAACTTTAATTTATGTCCTTATTTTTTTCTTTTTTTAACTTTAATTTTTTCCTTCAAACAGAGAAGAGATGTGCCAGAGCTTAACAAAGTTGGGAATATCGTGTACAGTAATACTAGACTCTGCAGTAGGATATGTGATGGAACACATAGATATGGTGATGGTTGGAGCAGAAGGTGTTGCAGAAAGTGGTGGTGTGATTAATAAGGTATATGATCATTGAACAGAAATATATAATTTTCTTGTAATTTATATATGTATTATATTTCTTCCAATTCTCTTTTACAGATAGGTACATATACAATGGCTATATGTGCAAAAGAGGTGAAAAAACCATTTTATGTACTGACAGAAAGCTTCAAATTTTCAAGAATCTATCCTTTGAATCAAGTAGATTTACCCAATGAATTTAAGGTAAATTATATTTGTATATATTGATTTCAAACCAGTTATAACTTTTATATAGGAACAATATAAAGGAATCTTTTCTATATATAATAATCCATAAAATGCATTATTACTTGTTGTAGTATACATACAGTGTACTTTTAACTAAAAATTTGAAAAAGGAGCATCCTTTGGTAGATTATACTCCACCTCAATACATCAGTTTGTTGTTCACGGACTTGGGAATTCTAACACCATCAGCTGTTAGTGATGAACTCATAAAATTATACTTATAATTTGGAGAATTTTCTGAGTGGTGAGTTTTCTAAATTCTATGAGTCAAAAAAATATAATGTAAGGACAATAGTGTTTAAGTCATTATGCGAAAGTTTTGTCTGTGGAAAGTGTAAAGATAAAGTGGAAATGTTATACATTTTCGTAAAAAAATACGCGCACACGCGCGCGTGTGTATATGTATGCGTGTGTATATACAGTACCAGTCAAAAGTTTGGACGTACTACGCGAGTTTCTCTATTTATTCAATAAAAATGAATTTGCGTAATGGGAATGATAGTTATATGCCTAATAATGTCTAAAATATAATATATAATATTCACGTATAATGTAAATATAGAGAAAGTACTTTTGTATTTACATTTCTTGTAATCAAGCAAAAATTTAAAAGGTTTGTTTTATTCTTTCTTACACTAGATTGCATTAGAACTTTCTTGCTTTTGTCATATATCTATCTCATTTTATTAAATTCTAAAAGTTCTAAAAATATACTAATAGTTCAATAGAAAATAAACTTTTTATTGCAAGTTGCTAACTGATCAGTACAAATATAAATGTTGAATCAGAAAGTCGCAAATTCCTTAGATAAATCAGTCCTCACTTATACTTTCTATTACAACATAATACCAGAAATAACTTAAACAAGATAAGGTTATGAGAAGCATACTACAAAAATCTGACATTAAAATACACACTCAGAAAAATGTCGGGAATTCTTATTGAAAATGGACGAATCAGAGTTTTCTGATTAAATCTACTAGAGTTTAATTATGATAACTGGAACTTTAATTGATATAATCAGACCATTTTCATCAAGCATTTTTCTCAGTGAAATCTTTAATATAATTTTATATATGGATTCTGAAAATTAGGTTGGCTCTAAGAATTCAAATCAGTTTTGAAAAAAAGTCATTATTTTACATTAGCGAGACTGTTCCAATCAATCCAAATTGCTATTGTTTAAATTAGTGAGAAGGACCATTACAACCGTTTTACACAGGTGATTCAAAATTTTTTACTGATAGTATATGTATAGATATAGTCCCGAAAAGATTGGAACAATACTAAGGGGAGATTCTTGAGATTATTTTAAGACGAAAATTGTAATACTAAAATGTCGAGACTATAATAGGTTTTTGATTGTGTATAAGCATTTTTAAAGTTACCAAATCATATCATATAAAAATTTATGCGTTTAGATGTAATGCAAACTACTAAAAGTTCATTGTTTCGTCAATATTAAGAATAGTAGAGTAGGAGGGAGTTAGAAAGTCAATATAAAAAGAATCAGGACGTTTATTAAGAGTTAAGGATTGGGAAAGAAAAAGATCCTCTCTTTTTTCCTGCTTGTGTGAGGGTTTTTGTTAAAAATTAGGGAATGTAGAGTGGTGAACTAAGGATGAAATTTATCAAGATGTAGTCAAATCTGCGGACTCAATGATTGCAGACAAAGAAAATATTACAAATTCGTCTAATATTTGCACAATGACGAAGTATAACATGTTACGGAGGAAGAGTTGAATAAGTTGATATTGCGGCTCGAAACCGAGAAAACTAAAGAAAAGGAATGGTGTCTGGCAGGAAATAAAAGAAGGAAAAACAAAAGATGTTCTAAGATGGTTGCAGAAGACAAGTTATTAGATTTATTGGAGGAAGTAGAAGAGAGTCCTTTTGAATTTATTCATGATGTAACAGGCTAATAGGTGATGAGGACAATGATGTTGTGATGATCAATGTCAATATTGTCGATTCCGTGGAAAATCAGGGATACTAATGTAATGCATGGTAATCAAAGTGGTTTCTTGAATAAAGAAATATGTTTCAACTGCAAAGGTGTGCTTAAAAAAGCAAGTGAATTGACCACCTCGAAAACGAATTCAGAGAAAAAATTGCGTTATGAGAACAATTTTTCTGATACATACAGAGTTATAGTCATACTGTTAAATGAGACCATACATAATTTAAGTTAGTATTTCAAAGTTATTAAAATTATATGTTCAAGCGTGGAACAACGCAAAGTACTAAAAGTGAAAGCTAATTGTTGCTTTTTACATCGATAAAAAGATTATGTATGCGAAGATAAAATTACTAATATTCTTAACCCTTACCATACAAGGTCAGGTGACCGAGCGATTTCTGTTCGTGCTTAAGTTTGTTTGAGTCTTTTGGTAATTATAAATTATACTACATTTTATTATTTCTCAAAATGAGGTTTCAATATTAGGTTTGTTCTTTTTAGCTGAACTTTTGCACCAGTTCATCTTTCTTATTCTTCTTTCTTCCTAAAAAGAAAAAGAAGAAAGATTATTTATTCGAGAAAGTTGAAAGTATGTTGATGAATTTTTAGAGATTTTTTGAACCATTCTGAATAAGTGAAAAAAATTAACGAATTCTAGAACTGATTCATTTCTGGATGGATGAGGCACCAAATTGTATCTTGTATTGTAAGGGTTAATAATTGATATTTATTTATTTGATAGCGCAACATTCCAAAATCGACAGGGTCTGCCTCTTGTATGTAGTATGCTGTCGTAGTGCGTATGCAGTTTGTACACAGGGTGTGATCCACTTAACGCTGCAAATACTTCGTTGAATCAGAAGAATCAGAAGAAAGAATTTTACGAATTGATCAATTAAAGAATATTTCAAAGCATTTGCCGTGTGAAGTGAATCGTACCCAAAGATATACGGCACTTAGAATTTAATGCCAATTCCGAATGGCAGTTTGATAGGTTGTCTTTGGTAATAGATATTCGTGGTTTGCCAGGGAAGCAAGTTTCGCCGAAGAGGAACTAGCGAAAATTTTCTGAATCTGCCGGGAATCGAACCCGAGTCCCCTGGCATTATAGACTCGCACGCTGTCCATCATGTTCGTGCTTATTAATATTATTTATATTTATCAAATTAAAAAAAATTTTTTTTCGACAATTTTGATACTAGATTTTCGTCTCAAAATGATTTTCAGGAATCTCTCCTTAAACATTGATTCGATCTTTACGGAACATATTATAATATATATATTTGTATGCAATATATATTAATGTATATTAAAAATTTGTATCCTTTGCTTAATATAAAATTTTACTGTATTACTATATTTTAATAATATATCTACAGATAATAAAAGTTTGTTCCTTGTGGTTCCTAAGAGTGACTGCTGTATGTGCGTGCGTGCGTGCGTGCGCACGTGTGTGTGTACTCACTCCCAAAAAAAGCGATACATTAAAAATTTTAGAAAAATTTACTAAATTTCAAATGGTAATTTGATAAATAATGAAGATAAAAATGTGTTTAAAAATGCAAAATAAAACTTGAAACTTAGTTATAATAAACTTGTCTACTTTATTTTCAAAATGGTGGATCGCAAAGTGAGATGATGTATAATTGGTAATCAAAGATCCTGGTTTACAATAGTGCATGGCGTGAACGTCACTTAGCTTAATGGATAACATGCACGTAAAAGTATAGAATTTTATCTTTAAAACGTTTTTTTATCGAGCTTGATATAATCATTTTTCGTTGAGTTATTCCAAGTTTAAGATATCGCTATCACTGATTACGTTTACACGGCCCTCTTTTTCAGATACTCACTCTTTTTAATAATATCTGTAGCCAGAGTTGGGTAATGCTAAGTTAAAAAGGTAAAAGTTAAGTTAAAAAATTAAAAAGGTAATTAATTTTAACTTAACTTAGTTATATTTTAGACTCTTAAGTTTTTAACTTAATTTAGTTAAATTTTATCGATAACTATTAACTTTTAATTTTATTTTTTTGAAATCAATCTTCAGACGTAATGCGAAATAATGAATATACCCCAGGTGTTTCAGATCATCTGTACCACCCTTTTATCTTCGCAGGACAAGGTTCAATCATAAAAGTGTTCAGACAAAAGTTTTAAGGTTTACAAAAATCTAATTATTGATCTTATCAGTTTGATCTTAGGTGGCGCCAAGGTCAAGTCAACGTTGATTATTTTAAACCGAACATATTTTATCTTCCAAAATCTAATAGGCAATAATCAAGAGCTTTCCAAAATACTATAATAAAGTTATTTTTTATTACTTTTCGAGTTATTATTAAGTACTTTTCGAGTTATAGCTCGAAAGTTAAGTATCGCTAACATTAGCATTACGCGTGGTGTCCGATCGACTTAAACCTCTTGAATGTTGTTCAGGAGCATATCATCCTGGATAACATCAAGATCAAGACCATTGGAAATTATTCGTCTTATTTTCATTTTTGCATTAAAAATTCATTTTTATATGAAAATATTAGATTCATTTAGATATGAAAATAAGAAGTATAATCTCCAATAGTCTTAATCTTGACAAATGTTATCAAGAGGTTTTAACCGTTGGTCGAACACCTTGCGTAATGTTAATGTCGACAGTACTGTAATTTTCGAGTATTATAACTCAAAAAGTACTCAATAAAAAATTACTTTAGTTAATGTTTTGAAAAGTTCTCGATATCGGTTACTTAGATATTGGAATACAAAATTGGATATTTCATTTAAAAAAATCAACGTGACCTTGACCTGACCTTGGCGACGTCATCTAAGATCAAACTGATCAGTAAATAGATCTTTTTAAACCTTACATTTTGTCTGAACATTTTTACGATTGGACCTTATCTTGCGAAGATAAAGGGGTAGTAAGCGTGGTCTGAAACATCCGATATAATTTAGTAATTTTATCTCTTCTATATTGTATAATCGTTACTTGTGAATAAAAATAACCAATGATTCTTTAATATGCTGTAAGAAAGAAAAAATACCAAAAATTATGTAAAATGGTCAAACTTTTTCTTTTTTTTTTTTATTCGTTCCAAGCCAAATTTAATTTTTAAAAATTGTTAAATTACTTTTTTTTAAAGAACTAGAAAGGATACGGGCAGTAGGAGTCAAGCGCAGAAGACATCGCGCAAATAATATATGAAGTAATAATGAATAAGTAAAATGAATAATTTATGAAGTATGAAACTTCTTTATTCACTAAAACGCGCTTACATGTTTTGGCTCACTTTTGAGCCCTCCTCAGAGACAACATAAATTAACATAAACAAACTGTGAATAAAAATTATCCTATTATAGTGAGCTTCTCTACCTCGAGAATTTAAACGCCAAAAAGAAAAATAAAAAAAGGAAAATGAAACGAAAAAAAAGGAAATAATGGAAATGTTCTTGATTTATAAGGAGTCTTGGTTAGTTTGATTTGCAATACGGATTTTTTTTTTTATTAACTTAACTTCTAATTCAATTACTTTTATTATGGATTAACTTGTTTTAATTAAATTAAATTTTCAAGGCTGTAACTTTAACTTAACTTAGTTTAAAAAAAAGTAACTTACTCTGATCTGTAGTTATGAAACTGACAAGTCAGTCATTCTATTCTTCAGAAAAATAGCTATGATTGGTTAAATTTATAATTAGGATATTACCAAACATAGTTTACAGTTCAAATTATAGCAAGGGCCTTAGCACACAAAAAATTTAAGCAATAAAACGTAAGCAGTAAGTGAATTAATCAATCACATTAGAGTTCGTAAGGCCATAACATAAACAGTAGCCAAGCCAACATGTTGATTTCTTTACTGCTTATGTCTTGCTGCCTTAAGTTTTTTGTATGCCATGATCCTATTTCTAATATAGTAAATTGCATGGAACTTGACTGGTCGCGGCGGAACTTCATTGCGTGCATGCGTACGTGTCTGTGTCTGTTCTTTTAGTTAAAGTTCTTGCACGATTCTTCCTTTTTTCTCCACGTTGGAAAAAATGGATCGTGCAAGAAGTTCAGCTAAAAAGAACAGGCCTAATTTTACACGCACGCACACAAAATCTTTATTAAAGAAAATTTAAACAAAATGTAATAAGATTTGCTTTGATTAAAAACATTAAGAAAATATCCGAGCAAGAGAGAATAGACACTGAAGATCATGCACTGATATTTAATTCTTTGCGAACCAGGTGGGGTGTGACCCCTTCTATATTTAGAAGTCTGTAGGTGTGATATATCCAGTAAGATAAACTTCTATAATTTTTCAAAAAGTATTACGTCCAAGTTGCCGATTTCATGCAATTGGAAAGTGCATCGTTATCAACCATACTAAATTATAGTATATTTATGATAAAGTATAACATGGGATATTCCATATATGATCTATGTTGACTTTCTACTTTGTTCATGGAGAGTTTAAAAAGAAATCTTTATCTTAAATTATAAAATTTATTACAAAACGTATCATTATGAGATCATACATTTCGGTTAGTCTTCTAATCCTCTTCTGCGATGAAAATTAAAATGCTCATAGTATTTCGAAATTAAATTAAAATGCATTATTCATTATCCATTATTACTAGAGAGTCCCAAAAGAAGAGAGTGGCAAACTATATCACGTGACTCCTCTGATTGGACGTGGGCATCAAAACTCTATACATATATGGAAGAGATTGGAGAAAATTGGTCATGTGAATCCGTTCTAATTGGACGAGGGCACGTGATGCATTTTGCCACTCTCTCCCATTGAGATTCTCTAATTATTACGATCTCCGTGGTGGACAATGTCTTCTCTTATAGAGAAAAAATATCTTATACCAATTAAAAGGCTGGACTCAAAGTATTGACTGCCTATAGCAACCGCAACAGATGTTTCAACCATATGTTAATTCATATTATGACATAATTTTTTATTGTTATGTAACTGTATGGTCAGGATTATATTATACAATGTTTGGTTTTTAATGGAACACCATTATTAATTTTTTGTTTTTAATTGTTAATTTCTCATCAATTATAATCTGGGGATTGACGGTTTACACATTTGTTGCCGTTTCCGCAGGCACTTTGAGTCAATCCAGCCTTTCAATTTGATATGAGATATTTTTTCCTTAATATAAGAGAAAACATTATCCACTTCGGAGAGAATAATGCACGTTATATTAATTTTGAAGTATGTATTGCGAGCATTTTAATTTTGAACGAGAAGGATTAAAAGATTAATAGAAACGTTC